ATATAACACAAAAATAGCAACACGACAAAATACATACGACGAAGAACATAATAATGTAGACATAACGCCAACGGCACCACAATTACCACCCCTACCAAATAACCATCCACTATCCCTAGTCCCACGAAATTTTCGAAATTTAGCCATCACACATAATCCAAATTTTCGACTCACCACATCACAAAGTCCCATCCAACATATAATGACACACCAGTCACAAGATCAAAATACTTATGAACAAATTATTGAACAACCCCATACCACCGCTTTTCAGTCTCAAAATAATCATTTTTTTAGCCCACGATGAGCCGCCAACTTGGATCACTACACCGATCAAATTCCCACCCAACCAATCTTACCTCTCCAATCCCAATAATACCACTTTTTGCTTTTCCGCCACCCGATTTTCCATCTAGTAATGTAACATCAGGCATGAATTCCGACACTAATTCACACATCTCAGTTTTATATTCCATCTCACAACTCAATAACCCGAATATTGAAACCCCCGATGAATTTGCCGACTCAGAACCATCCCCATCAAATCATTTTCATAATTCTTCTAATTTTTCTCAACCCCCTTTTCAACCCATATTATCCAATAACCCTGACCCAATCACTTCCACACCCTCTTATGCTTCCCAAGTTAAACCAACCTACTCCTCATACCATTCTGACCAATCATCTCATTCTCCAGACACCCCCCGAATCTCCCCAGAGCTAGATAATTTTATTACCCTTCAACAACAACCCTACCACCTTAATACCCCAACCATAAACCAAATCTCCTCCACAATAAATTCATCCAACCCCCCTACCCCTACACCCTCTTCAAATTATACTGAATCATTAGCACCATCATCCACATCAACTGAATCTTCACTCAACACTAATAGAGCTTACCGCACTTTTAAAAGAAAGTTCCCCAACCATCCTTTCCCAGCAAAACCAGGAACAGCCCGTGAATACATCAACCATCCCAAGCATACTAACACAAAAGAATTTTTAGCCATCACCTTACCCTCATTTCCACAATACACCTTAAACACCCCCCACGACACTAACGAAACACGCAACTTTGTAGATGAATACGTTTTAATGCCCACTCTCTCTTGGACCTCATATTATCATTTTACTAACCCTCTTTGCTTACCTTTATCTAACACTCACATCGATATAGAGCGAAATACGGACATGCTATATCGACTCACTACACCACTAACCGCTAGACAATTTACTTACGTTGGATATAAAAAATCACTAAAAACACACACTGCACCTAGAGCTAACGAATATACACTCGAATACTATGATCACAACATCATCAGAGCTAACAAAGATCAATTCTTAGACGACGATCGCTTCGCTAATCCACAAATTACCGAGAAATTTTTCATCAAGACACCATATATATTTACACTAAACATCTTCGACCGAAAGTTTGATCACATTATTTCAGAAGCACTAACAGACACACAAGCATACGAAAGTTTTAAAGAACGCTTCCAAATATTTTCACTAACCTTTCATTTCCTTGCACCACACGAAAGAGATTTACACTGCTCACACGATATTATGTTGCGCACTAAACAAACCCACACATATAGTTATTACCGCTTCATCCAAAATCACTTTGACCTACACACACCCTCTAGACAACCACACCATCGCTTTCAATTCATTAATTCCAAATACACTTCACCATTTTTCCTAAATTTCACATATTGCATTAAAGATACTAACCTTCATGGTATTCTTCGCAATTATGATCCCATAACCCAAATGTACATCTTCTGTCCCATCACCAAGACCTTCAACGCCGAAGAATCCCGACCCTTCCTTATCCCGCACGAGTTTGTACAACCTATAGAAATCCCAATTTTAGAATTCATCCACAACACTAAATTCAATCACAAATTATATAATCTAATCCAAAACACACCTTATGAGTTTGCAGTTGGCACTGAAGAACTAACCACTATTAAGGCACTTCAATTGCTTTGGCCACTGCTTCAGACTAAAAATATCATCCGCATCTTAGCTAAACTACTAACAAATTCCGATCTCATCCACGACATCTTCCCCCACGGTTTTTTCCCCGACGACTAACAGGTAAGTATGAATTAAATGAATATTACTAACTAATTACAATATTAAAAACTCACCATTCTTTATCCATGTTTTCTTTAGATTTTTAGCTTTCATCCGACAATCACCTACAAAAACCACAAAAGACAAATAAAAATCGCAAATTTCATCAAACAATTTTAAAAATTCTTTTAATCAATTACACTTATAAATTTATAAATTTAATATCAATGCAGTAAATTCATTTCTAAAATTTTCCCCACAAGCAGTAAATCTAATTATGATGAAAATTTGTAACTTAAAATTCCCCCATAACTAGCAGTAAATTTCCAAATTCTATGCAGTAAATTAATAAAATGCAAATGCAGTACTAACCTTTTGATATTCTCATTCATTCGCACAGAAATTCTATCCACACTCGCACAGCTCGCCCACGAAGAATTGTTTAAAATAATGAATTTCAGTTTCAAGTTTTCACACTCAACAACTCTAACATATAATAACATGTTTCAAACCTTCCTTTAACCCGGTTGGAAAGGAATCATATACTAAACAAAACTAACCAACGCAGCTTACTAAATACCACAAATCATAGAATAACAGCATGACTAAGAAAAGGAAACCAACGGTACCCAAACCGGATTAACCCAGTTTAAAACTGGATAATTTATTCTTTTGAAGACTATTATAAAGTCTAAGAAAGAAATAATAAAACACAAAAAAGTCGAAAGACAAACCCATACCACGAACAATTTGCTTTTTGGAAAAAGGACATAACCAACAAGACATAAGAAAAACCACAACAAACCCAACATAAAACGTTGTCACATAACAGGACCCCTCACAAAAACCGCATGAAATCATACTCGCACTCCTGGCCTAACCCACCAGGAAGGACGTCCTGAGCATGCTCTATAGCCGGCCTAACCCACCGCGCTACATCCACGCTTTGTGACCACACCTCTATTTTTAATAAGAGCTACTCAAGTGTGAGTAACTCTTCAAAATAACCGAACTAAAACAAAAAGCTTTTGTGAAAACAACTAACTAAAATCATAATTAAAAAATATTAAACTAATAAATGTTTTATAAAATGTAAATTACATTATGCAATACATAGATCAGAATACAACACCAAGGACGAACATCTAAAGACAAAACGACCCCACTACACTCGAGAGAGAATGGCCAACCACAATCGATATGCCACTCACAATCACAACTCAAAGGATTTAGAGTACGACTTGACTTCGCAGAAAAGGACTTCATTGAACTAGACCAATGACCACCTCGATGTTCAAGTATACGTACAGATCCGAGTAACCAGGCATCCCCTCCACGCACAATCTCCACGCCATTCCCAAATTAGATCAGACACAAAAGAAGTTCTCCACGCAGAACAGAAAAACCTGACATAGCAAACCATTCTGAAATCAGATTTGAGTTTGTTGCAAAGACTTAGTCGTTGTCACTAGAAGACACAACGTCTTATGTCTCTAACTCCAGCTTCCTGGAACTTCTTTAACAAAGAGGAAACAGAAGAAATAAGATGTTCGCCAAACACCAACGTCCATCATCCATCCTTCGAATTGCAGAAGAACTATTCTAAAAAACTCTGTAAAACCCGGATGGGTGGAACCTGATCTAGACTACATTTTATGATTGGATAATTTAGACATTTTACCAATGTAAAGTATTTAATATTAACCAATCATGATCCATCTAACTAACAACCCACTTATTTGTAAGTGCTGAAGTTACTTGTAATTTCAGCACCAGAGAGATTTGAATTTAACTTAGAAATTAGTTGGACTCTCCCGAGCACTTCAGCAACCGCAATAAACCAGTATACCCTAGATCTATTGAGCCTAGCAGAGACTAGTTAAACAACCTGAGACTAGATAGTATAAGAGTAAGATTAGGATCGGTATTAGACTAAGAAGTTGCACGAATCTATCCGGCCGAAAATAAGATAGCGTGACGAGCAGACGGTGTACCCTATCCGAAATTACTCTATGAGTTAACCAACTCGGTCCTAACTCAGCTGGTTACAGCCAAGAAGTCACGGGAGTTTCCGGTGGACCGATTCGTCTTTCGATAAACACAAAAAAAATTATAAAAGTTTCAGTGAAACTATCTAATCCAAAAAGAAGGGAGGACTTTTGCGAAGTCCTGCCTTCTTTGGCGCAAAAAATAAGGTCAAAGTAGGTAGGATATTTGTAGTGATTTGTGAGGACAAAAAAGGACAAAGGCTCCGATTTTTTTGAAAATCCACCCCCCCTCGATAAATCCTATATCAGCCCCTGCATAGCCTAGCATTCTAATTGCAGGCAAGAAACTGTGTATATCTAATTGATAACCTTTAAAAAAAACTGAAAAAAAAACATAGAAACAGTTTTAAAAGCAATCACATACAAGAGTGAAAGATGGAAAAGCAATTCTATAATCTTTGTTTACTTGGCTCGGTTTTGGTTAAATTTTACCAGGAAAATTAAGTATTCATACCATCGCCAGTTCCTTGGAAAACAATGCATACTATTGAACGTCAAGTCCTCCATGGCCCCAGGATAATCCCCCCTCAATAGGATTCTGGAAAAACAAAGGAGTATTCATGGCATTAATTTGACATGAGGAAGCTTATTACTTGGATTATCAGTCTAAATTATGCAGACATCAAACAAGCAAATTCTTCCTTCCAACAAATACGTGAACAATTTTCGAAAAATTGGTTTTTGAGATGATTAAATTTTCAGTTCATTGTCCTAGAGAGTTTCCCCAGGCGAAGCCAGACACCTAGAAAGGACGAAAAATTGGCCATAAATTGACTTCAAGTGATCGGCCATGTCAAAAATGCCGCAAAAATACTCGATCTTAAATTAACAGTCACTTAGCGTGATTTCCGTTCTAAAAGTGGCCAGTTAATGCATCTATAAAAAACTGACTTGAAATCCAATTTTAAATGGATGTTACCTACGGTTTTTCCTTTGAAAAATGGTTTGACAGCCAATATACAATTTCCTTAATACTTATAACACGTTGACTTGATTAACTGGAATTAATTCAGTTAAATGTTATAAATTACGGCCTCCATTTTCTGGCTCAAAAACACTAAAAACATTTTCAATTTTTGATGCTGTGACGTTTATTTTTTACAATTCTTAATTTCACATAAAAACTTAATTTCACATAAAAATATTGATATTAAAATATTTGATAACATACTAAAATGTTACACAGCTTACTTGACATTTAAAAATATTAGTACTAAAGGAAATAATTTTTTTTTGAGTTATATGTAGTTGGAAGGGCGTGAATTTGCTGGAAATTAACAAGTGACCAAATTTTGCTTCATTGTGCTCCATTTTTCTTATCTCACCCGATATTAAACTCTCAGGGGAAATCTATCAGATGCAGTTTTTAAACGGATCTCTAGATCGGGGCTGTTTTGGGCTAACTTTACGACAAAACAACCCAATAGCCGAAAAGTTTGAATAAATTGACGTCCTTTAAACTGCCCAAAAACTGTATGTTTTTCAAGCCTATTAAAAAAAAATTTCAATTAAGTAATCTGATTGGCTAAGATAATTTTCGGCCATTTGGTCCTTCGGTAATGAGAGATTCGTCCTTTCTAGATTACGTTTTAAACTTATAACAGTATGAGCTCTGGGTTCGCCTTAAAAAGCGACAAATTTTTCAATTTATCCCCCCAGCAAGCCAATTTTACCCATTATTAAATTAGACCCGAAAACAAAGTCGCCCAAATTGTTTTGATGAAAAGCTAAGTCGAACTATGATCCGCCTTTGCTATTGACTTTGATTAGAAAAACCTCCCTTATTCTTAGCATTACAGATCACAATCCATTCAAACACGCTTGCTATTATGTTTTCTTTTTATTTGGTTTAATGGTCAAATTTGTCTCAATTGAAAAAACGCGGTTTTGTTGTTATTGTTGTTTTTTTTTGCTCAAAGTGAATTAATTTGAAAACCGAATGGAACTTCAAAGATAATTACATCCTTAAAAACCAACCATAAGCATCTTTGTCACACGTTTCATGATTATAATCTGCAGATTAAAAGCATAATAAAAAATACACCGGTTTTCCAAATACCGATTCAAAGTCTTCAGAAAGCTTCTTTCACCGGATTGCAAAAAACAGAGAGAAAATCCTAATCATTTCAATTTTTTTGAACAAAAATCGAGTTTGAAGCTTTTGTTATCAATTCTGCGAAGAATTTCGTTTCAATTAATTTACTCCACATCTTGCAGACAATTTCATGAGCCAAATTGTCATGACTCAAATTTAAATCGAATAGACTGTGGGTAAAGTTTTAAATAAAACTCACCTTTGGTCGACACTTATTTTTCAGCTTTGAACAGAAAAAATTATCCCCTTGTAAGCAATTATAATTAAATTGTTTCGGTCAAAATTTTCATCATCTGGTCAATGACCGGAAGTTAATAAAGTTATAAAATTATGTGTATTTCTTTGGTTTACTTTCTCTGTTTTATTTTCGAATTTATTAGTGTGGCCGTGTTGGTGTTCGCTTTGACCAGGGAAGTCTGGTTTACTTTTGGGGGTAACTTTGCCATATATGGGACCATCCAGGGCTATGGTAGTCTGTGGAAGAAATGTTTCAGACTCATCGACCAAGATCTGCAGATGACATGCGAGAACACAAAGCCATCGTCCACACCAGGTAAAAAGACTTGTTTCTACGGTATGCTTCTACATGCAAAAAAAAATCTGTAAGATTATGCAAAGTTAAAAAAGACAAGAAGCAAGAATAGCCAGCTGCTGTGTCAATAAAATAAACAGTTCGTACCAAGCTTTCCATTTTATGCAAGCAATGAACTTAAAATTGTAAAATAAGCATAAAACAGACAACAGTTTCCAATAATTGCATGTTTGCTTCTCTCTTTTGCAATATCAGCATCCTCACCCTAAAGTTTTTCTGAAGGTGCCTTCAACGCCAATATATAACGATTATGAAAGGGAGCGCGCGCCGAAAAAACTGGTAATTTTGACCTGCTTTTTCAAAAAATTTTGACCTGCGGCCAAAAATATTTTGTCAAAATAGGATTATTATAGTGTTCTGGCAGCATTCGGAAAATCAACTTGGTAGACCTAAAAGAATAGTCGACAAATTTTTTTAAAAAAACTTTTGATAATCCCCCCCCCTCTCGAGAAAATCTTAGATAGATCCGCCTCTGCCATGTGATCCGCCTCCGCCTTTTATCATAGCCTACCTTTCCGTCCAATTCTGCAGTCTAAAAAATTTGTATGAAAATGTCATGAAAAGCATTTTACCCTACAATTGATTGTATGATATTACAAATAGAAACTAAACAAAAAAGATTCTTGAGTTTCACTTTATGTTTTTTGAGTTTCACTTAATGTTTTGTGTTTTGTTTTAAGAAAACCAGGCTTTTTCTCAATTGAGAAGATCCATAGCTTAACTGGTACTAATTTCATGGATAAATGTGTAAATTAGCGTTTTATAATTTATTTTTATACAGCAACAAAACAAAAATACAGAGGTTTACTTTTTTGACCGGCTTAGTTTGTTTCACAACATGAAAAATATAGGTTGGACAAAAAATTTGTTGAAATTATTGTGTTCGAAAAACTTGTTTTTGGAAAAGTGCTTGTCATATATTTCTCTTATATAAGAACACTTCACAAATTTTTAAGAAAATTAAGAAAAAAAGAAAAAAAAAATGAGACAAAAATATCTAGAGCCTCTTAAATCATTATGAAAATTGTACGAGCATTTTTCCAAAAAATTTTTTACCAATGGATGATATGATTTTCTATGAAAGTCGAAACTTGTAGTTGAAAAGCCTGTGTAAAAATTATTTTGCATGAAATTGATCACTAGAAATATTAATTACTGAGTTTCATCTTGCAATAGCTAACAATTTCATTCAGTTATATATGGTCGAGCAAATTGAAGTGTCGTAGTCACATGGAAAACATAAATAAGCTGAAAACAAGTAGCTCAGAAAGTTCCGACCATTATGTTTAAAAAAAGATGTTTTTTTTTAAAAGAAAATGTCGTTTTTTGCATTGTGTGATAAAAAGATCATGCAGGAGCCAACGTTTTAGATAAAGGTGACAGTCACAATAATTTACACAATTCGATCAACAAGCTTCTTGTACATGAAAAACGAAAAATATATATAACACAGAGGTGAAGCTGATCTTCGCACCACCTGCGATACAACACGTATAGGACGAAAACAACATAAAATTGAGCATGTCAGCTGCCTAGTAGCATAACAAGTAAGTGATTCAACTGATTTTGTTAAGCAAGTTGTTAAACCGAAAAAAGGTCTTGCTAATCGAAAGCGCAAAGAAGTTCAACAAAATTTTAATTTTTTTTTTGTTTTTTTTAGGAAAAACTTTGAAGGTTGTTCTATGGTATTAAGCCTGTTAGCTTGCTTTGCTCGCTCAAAATCGAACTGAAATGTCAATCCGTTTTTCTCAACACTTGGAAAATTTTTTGACAATTTGAAACTTGTGTTTAAATCAAGGCTGAAAAAGCTTCATTACGATATATCATTCCACTCAATCTGATAATTGTTTCTGACAACTCAATTGGTTGACACAAAAAAAAACAGGTTAAGGTTACTCGCTCTTTTAATTTGTTTGTTCGAAAAAATTCAAAAAATTTAACGAGTTTTTCTCGGCCCGTGAAAGTTAAATTAGCCACAAAAAAACTAATGTAAACAGACTAAATTGAGCGTAAAAAACCAATTAGCTCGCTTTATTCCCTCGAAGTTAGATCGAAAACTATAATAGTCAAACCTGTTTTCTTGACACTGCGAAATTGTTCGAAAGTTCTGTAATCTCGTTCGAATCACGACTGAAAGGGCTTTAATAAGATATTTTACTCGTTCCATTCCGATGATTATTTGTGGTATCTGATTCTGAGCGGAAAACGAAAAAAAAAACGAAAAAATTTAGCACACCCGAATACAAAGTTCCTTCCCATTTTCTATGGTCGGAACAACAACAGGTAGACTAAGTATAAGAATCTGCTCTATCCGCAAAAAATTTCGAAAATGCGGGAACAGAAAAACATTAGAAAAAACAACAAATAGTTTTCAAGATCTAAGTCACCAGGAAGACTCACCAATTTTCAAGGTCACCAGGAAAACTCAATTTCATTTAACTCGGAGATTAAAGCAAAATTAAAACAACTTATTATGTATAAATTTCTTCGCAAATGAGTGTTGAGCAAAAAAGATTATTGAACCAAACGAATACAAATGTGGCATAAACATTTTTGACGAGACATAATTTAAAAATTAATTTCCAAGTACTGTAACATTTGCTACCTTGTGAGGAACCAGTGAAGCCGTTGAGAACAACTCGAGATGAAAATAAAACGAGACTTCTCGTATGAAGGTGACACATTGAAGGATTCGACTGTCCTTTGATGTCTATGGACTAGTGTTATTTAAAAAATCAAGAAATTTTGGAAAAAATTAGTATTTAAAATTTAAACTTTAGTAGCTTTAGGTAATGAAATGTATCATCAGATGTGGCAAAATTTTTGTTACCTTCTGCAAAAAAGCATCTATATTTTATGTATCGGTGACCTCAATCAGGATTATCAAGAAAAGGAAAGGGATCTATTTCGATCTTTTTTCAAACTAGTCTCGTTTTTTTTGTGCGTGGTATAATAACAGGATCTGATTGTAAGGCCAGAACGTAGGCTTACTTGACTGTCATAGTAAAATAGGCAAATTGGGTTAAAATTTTTGCAAAATATTACAGGAAAAACAAAATTAATTTATAAAAAAAATTAATCTTTTTCCAGTTTATTTTTTTTTGAAACTTTTAGGGTTTTATTCCCAAGATATCGCTTTACTCGTGCAAACTTAAAATTTCACGTCGTTTTTAATGTAAGCCTGCTTGATAGCTTTACTCGCTCGAAACTGAACTGAAACTCAAAAGTATTAAGACAGTTTTTCTCAACACTGAGAAAATGTTTTATGAAAATTTTTTCCCAGAATTCAAATCACGGCTGAAATGGCCTGAAAAAGATTATCACTTTACCCATTCCGATGATTACTTGTGGTAATTGATTTCGCGTGGATAATAAAAACAGAATTAAAAGACTAAAACACACCCGAATTCAAAATTGCTCCCCATTTTCAATGGTCTAAACAAAACACACTACAGAATTTTAAGCCATTCCAAATGAATGATATATTTGTTGATTTGATTTTGTTTCTAGTGTTCATCTACACCACCCGCACTCTGCTCATCTCCGCCTGTATAGTTGGGGGTCTGTGTGGGGTGTTGCTTCTCAAGTCCTGGATCCACTGTCAATCTACCTCCTCGGTTGATCACGCCAGTCTGCGGGAGGAAGACGGCAGATACTACAAGTGCTACTCTGCTCTACTTGCTCTCTCCAGTTTACTACAAGGTAATATTAATCATGTTTCCAGGAAGTGCGTAGTTCCAGGAAGTATTTAGTTCCAGGAAGTGTGTACTTCCAGGAAGTGAGCAGTTCCCGATTTTTCCTTCGTCAACAATTTTTTTTGACCACAAAACAGTAAATGAAGTTGAATTTTCTGAAAACGTTACAAAAGCTAGGGTCAAAAAATCAGGACGCAAAAGTAAGGTCATTAACTATGAATTATGTTGGCCCAATATAAATTGTAGTTAATGTCCTAGCTTCTGTGAATGCTTTTCTGACAGATTAATGACACAAAAGCGCTTTTTCTGCTATTCCGGTCACCGATAAGGATGTGTATGAATTATAGCCCAAAGTATCAGATTTAAAAAGCACGGCGATAAAAAGTAGCAAACAAGACTTCGATCGAAGAAAAAAGTTAAATCTACCAGCTTTTTCAAATCTTCGTATCAGTTTGTCTGGAAGAGAATTCAGTTTTAACAAAAATAGCTTGCCAAATAAGACAAATGAACGGTTTTGCATCGGAACAAAAACTACGTAGCAGTATTAACCCTACAATCCTAATTCCGATAACAAAATTCTCATGCGGAAAAATTCCGTGCTCATCGACCCACAAAGCAAAATTTTTGAAAATTTTAGGGAAAATTTTGTAAAAATTTAATTAAAAGTCTAAAATTGATAGTTTATTGTCATTCAAAGTTGAATTTCTAAAAGTCGAAAAATATCCGTTCAAAGGGAATTGAGCCGAAAAAAAAAGAGACAAACGATTGCCCGAAAAAGCAAAAAGTTTTTAGATTAAAAAAAAACAAATTCTGACTGGATTTGAACCCCGAGTCTTTGTCGTTCCAAGCATATCTATTACCTCTACGCCAAATGCGCTGGAAAATTGATTGAAATTAATTTAATTATTTTAAACAATAAAAACTGAAAACTGATTTTTTTTTTATATGTCAATTTTTTTCAAAAATTTTTTTTTTCCATGTTTACTTTTTCTAATTGTGTTACGGAGGGTATAAAAGGCTGATTTAGATTTTTGAAAAGCTTACTGTTAGTGATCAATAGTTATAAAACCAACATAATTTCTAGATTTAAAACATTAGAACATAGAACATAGAACATAGAGTAAAAACATAAGCCGACAGAATTAAAGCCGAACGACCTCTGTGCCAAAAAAATCCACGAAAAATGTTCAAATCAGATAAAATATTAGTACTCAACTCTTACCGTAAACACAAGGCCAATACAGTAACCATGCTATTAATTAACCATTTGTATATACCAATGGCAAAAAAATATACTGATTATAATTTGACCATTTTCTGAACAAAGTTATTTGCGGAAAAAGTCTAGTGCCCGATTGCAATACCCTTGCTTTTCGCAAGTGTAATTACAATTATTACCATAAAAACCAAATATACAAAGTCAATTTAAAATCATAACTTAAATCTGAATCTTGGATTGTTTTTTTTTCAGGTGCTCTCCAAATAGGCGCATTACTTCTGTTTGCCGAACAACTGAGCCCAGAGTACGAAGGCCTATCAGTGCACCTCTCCAACGGGTTCTTCTTCGCCTCTGCTGCCCCTGTTCCTCACCTTCTAATCTGCATTCTCGCTCTTTTTTTAGGGGTCAACTGCACTTGCAAATGCTGCCGATGTTTTAAGTGTTGCAGAAGCTCAGCAGAGCCATCCCAAGTGTGAAAAATAACAGTAATGAAACTTATTTCATCTTATTTTCAATTCTTAGAAATTATTATATAATAAATATTTGAAATTTATTTTGAGAAGTTCTTAGTGAAAAAGAGTGCTGCGACTTCAATTCAAGGAGTTGTGCTGATACAGTGCTGATATAAATTGGGGGAACATATTTTAGACCATTCATCCACGAGGGAAAGGGCCAACATATGAGCTGCACAGCTTATCACGGCGAACCGCTGTTGTACCCCTACTTAAGAACTACATGCAATGTTTTTGGTTATTTTTCTGGGCTGGATAATGTTGCCTCACTTTCAAGCAACGAGCACGGATCATGGTGTGCCTCGAACATCCGACCTTTCCATTGAGAGGTTGAGACGTAACCACTTCGTCACAGCTCCCCGGCGTCCCGACAAAACGCGCAAAACTTGAAATTTAAAACGAGTTTTTCTCAAATTGGGTTGAAGTTAGGTGAAAAAAGATGAAGTTAGGTGAAAAATGATGAAGACAAAACTTTCTGCATAAAAAGTTAGCAAAATTGATGTAGTACAGCGTGTTTTGCTGAATCCAGGCCTAAAAATTTGCCCCAAAAATGGTTTTTTCATTCAATCAAAAGCTATTGAGTCAGTTATTGACAAAGTTATATCAAAATGAGCTTGTTACGTAGCCCAAAAAACTTTAAGAATAACTTAATTTCACAAAAATGTGCAAAATATTCAAAACAATTTTCATTTAAAAAGTTGGCGTTTTATTCAATAAAAACGACAATTTTGTCTATTAAACAATATTAAAAAAATCATAAAAATTTTCGGAAATATCATAAAAAGGCCAAAATTTTCAGTAGATAGGCAAACATTTAATTGTGTGTAGGTCTCTGAAAATCAGAGACAAGCCTTTAAACAAGTTAAAATTTTGTCGGAACGAGCAAAGAAAATGAAACAAAAGAAGGAAAAAGGGAGCGTCCTTGTTGTGAAATCCACTAACAATTCAAAAATACACGTTAAATTTGCTCTTTTTAGAATTTACTGGGCTATTTTGATTTGATTTTCCCAGCAAGAGTTATTTTGGTATAATTTTTGATTGAATAAAAAGCCAAAATTGATCTGTTTTTGGGGTAAGTTTTTCGATTTTGTATTTTGTATACAGAAAACTAGATTTCAGTTGAAACATGACAAAACTTGGACCATAACAAGAACCAACAGGTATTTTCCAATGTTTCAAAATTTTCAATTTGTAAATATTTGTGAGAAAAACTAGACGATTTGAAAAAAAATTCGGTCAACAGTTAACGGTAAGGTTTTTAAATCCGCTCGAAATTATGAAAAAAGAAATGCATTTTCAAAACTAATAATCATTCATGTATTGTGCGCCATTTGTACTTTTTTAATTGAAGAGCATTGTTTGCTTGTAATTCGGAAGCCTAACCGCGACAAATTTGAGCCTGAACAATTTTTTTAAATCCTAAAAAAACCACGCTACTTGAATAAATGATAATTCACTTCGTTTGTTGCCACATAAATAAACATTCATTTTTTAAAATCGGTTGTTGAATTTTACAACAAAATGCTTCCACTAGAGTCTGTTTTGCAATAAAAAACCAACAAAAAAACGAATTTGCTGTAATTTTACGAGACTGGCCTGAACATTGATGAAAAATTGAATAATTAAAACTTTTCTTCATATTGCTTAAGAAATAATTTTTTTTTCAACAAAGAAGTTAACTCATTTCTGGCCATAACTCAATTATAACCAACAGACAGTTGGAAAAGGGTAGAAAAAAAACAAAGAAAATTTCCTAAACAAACTTTGAAAGTTTTAAAACATTTTTCATCTTTTGAATTTAGAATTAAAATTATATCGCAATGAAATTCTATGATCTTCAAGCAGTGTTTATGATGGGCACTTTTGTCGTAAAACTATCCAATTTGAAAAAATGGATCATTAGATAATTTTTGTGCCGCAATGAATTAATAAAATTGAACTAAAATTATTCCAGTTTATCGTTTACCTTCGATGTTTTCTTTTTGCTGTACTTCATCGAAACTTACGTTCCTTTCAACAGAGCAAACGAAATGAATTATTATTATAAATTCTGAACTCAAACCACGAAAAATTGAATTTGATCTAGAAGTTTTTAGTGAAAAAGAGTGCTGCGACTTCAATACACGGAATTGCGCTGATAGAGTAATGATATAAATTGGGGGAACATATTTTGGACCATTCATCCACGAGGAAAAGGGCCAACATATGAGCTATACAGCTTATCACGGCGAACCGCTGTTGTACCCCTACTTAAGAACTACATGCAATGTTTTTGGTTATTTTTCTGGGCTGGATAATGTTGCCTCACTTTCAAGCAACGAGCACGGATCATGGTGTGCCTCGAACATCCGACCTTTCCACTGAGAGGTGGGGACGTAACCACATCGTCACAGCTCCCCGGTGTCCCAACAAAACGCACAAAACTTAAAATTTATAACGAGTTTTTCTCAAATTGGGTTGAAGTTAGGTGAAAAATGATGAAGTTAGGTGAAAAATGATGAAGACAAAACTTTCTGCATAAAAAGTTAGCAAAATTGATGTAGTACAGCGTGTTTTGCTGAATCCAGGCCTAAAAATTTGCCCCAAAAATGGTTTTTTAATTCAATCAAAAGCTATTGAGTCAGTTATTGACAAAGTTACATCAAACTGAGCTGGTTACGAAGCCCAAAAAACTTTAAGAATAATTTAATTTCCCAAAAAATGTGCAAAATATTCAAAATCAATTTTTATTTAAAAAGTTGGCGTCTTATTTAGAAAAAACGACATTTTTGTCTATTAAACAAAAATTCAAAAAAATCATAAGAGTTTTCGGAAATAACATAAAAATGTCAAAATTTTCAATAGATAGGCAAACATTTAATTGGGTGTAGGTCTCTGAAAATCAGAAACAAGCCTTTAAATAAGTTAAGACTTTGTCGGAACGAGCAAAGGAAATGAAACAAAAGAAGAAAAAAGGAAGCGTCCTTGTTGTGAAATCCACTAACAATTCAAAAATTACACGATTCGGCCTCGTTAAAAATGCTCTTTTTAGACTTTATTGGGCTATTTTGATTTGATTTTCCTAGCAGTAGTTTTTTTGGTACAGTTTTTGATTAAATAAAAAGCCAAAATTGATCTGTTTTTGGGGTAAATTTTTCGATTTTGTATTTTGTATACGGAAAACTAGATTTCAGTTGAAACAAGACAAATCTTGGAACATAACAAGGACCAACAGGCAGTTTCCAATGTTTCAAGAATTTCAATTTGTTAAGTATTTGTAAGAAAAACTAGACGATTTGAAAAAAATTCGATCAGCAGTTAAAGGTAAGGCCTTTAAATCTGCTCGAAATTATGAAAAATGAAATGCATCTTCCAAACTAATAATCATTCATGTATTTTGCGCCATTTGTGCTTTTGTAATTGCAGATCATTGTTTGATTGTGATTCGGAAGCCTAAACGCGACAAATTTGTGCCTGAACAATTTTTTTTAAATCATAAAAAAACCACGCTACTTGAATAAATGATAATTCACTTCGTTTGTTGCCACTTAGATAAACATTCATTGTTTAAAATCGGTCGTTGATTTTTACAACAGAATGCTTCCACTAGAGTCTGTTTTGCAATAAAAAACGAAAAAACATAATTTTTTTTTTCAAATTTGCTAATTTGCTGTATTTTTACGAGACTGGCCTGAACATTGATGAAAAACTGAATAATTAAAACTTTTCTTAGTTTTGCTCAACAAATAATTTTTTATCAACAAAGAAGTTAGCTCATTTCAGGCCATATTTCAAATATAACCAACAGACAGTTGGAAAAGGCTAAAAGACAAGGAAAATTTCCTAAACAAGTTTTGAAAGTTTGAAAACATGTTTCACCTTATGAATATAGAATTAAAATTAAATCGCAATGAAACTCTATGAACTTCAAGCAGTGTTTATGATGGGCACTTTTGTCGTAAAACTATCCAATTTGAAAAAAATGGATCAATAGATAATTTTTGTGCCGCAGTGAAATAATAAAATTGAACTGAAAATTATTCAAGTTTATCCTTAGCCTTCGATGTTTGTTTTTTGCTGTACTTTATCGAAACTTACATTCCTTTCAACCGAGCAAATGAACTGAATTATAATTATAAATTCTGAACTCAAACCGCGAAAAATCGAATTTGAGCTTGAACAAGTTTTAAGATTTTTTCCTGAAAGAATAAACAAAAAGTCATCAAGACTTTTAAGTAAAAAATAACTTTGTCAATAAAAATAATAACAAAAATAAAACCGAATGGGTGAAAACTGTTGGCGCGAAAAGAAGGAAAACGAAAGATCAACAAAATAGTCTAGAATCATTTTTCGATTGACATTAAAAAAGTCATTAGTTTGCCAAAAAGTTGGAATGGAACAAATTCTGGTCAATCTATTTCTTTGGTTATTCCGACCATGAAGTGTGAAGAGCTTTAAGTTTCAGTAGCTTTTGTTCCGACTTTCGATACGAAAGTAACGGAATATTTGTGCTCGGGGTGGTTTTTTTTTTCTTCAGACAAATTTCGACTTTTTAACTAGCCATTTTTGACGGAGTTTTTTTTATATCATTCGAAAACTATTGTTGTCCTGAGCTCAAATTTGAAAAGATATTTCACCTGTGATCCTTTTTCGTAAAGTTATGGGGGTTTAAAGATTGCCATTTTGGCCAATTTGGGACAATTAACGCGCGATAAATTAGACGATTTGAAAAAAATTCGATCAGCAGTTAAAGGTAAGGCCTTTAAATCTGCTCGAAATTATGAAAAATGAAATGCATCTTCCAAACTAATAATCATTCATGTATTTTGCGCCATTTGTGCTTTTGTAATTGCAGATCATTGTTTGATTGTGATTCGGAAGCCTAAACGCGACAAATTTGTGCCTGAACAATTTTTTTTAAATCATAAAAAAACCACGCTACTTGAATAAATGATAATTCACTTCGTTTGTTGCCACTTAGATAAACATTCATTGTTTAAAATCGGTCGTTGATTTTTACAACAGAATGCTTCCACTAGAGTCTGTTTTGCAATAAAAAACGAAAAAACATAATTTTTTTTTTCAAATTTGCTAATTTGCTGTATTTTTACGAGACTGGCCTGAACATTGATGAAAAACTGAATAATTAAAACTTTTCTTAGTTTTGCTCAACAAATAATTTTTTATCAACAAAGAAGTTAGCTCATTTCAGGCCATATTTCAAATATAACCAACAGACAGTTGGAAAAGGCTAAAAGACAAGGAAAATTTCCTAAACAAGTTTTGAAAGTTTGAAAACATGTTTCACCTTATGAATATAGAATTAAAATTATATCGCAATGAAACTCTATGAACTTCAAGCAGTGTTTATGATGGGCACTTTTGTCGTAAAACTATCCAATTTGAAAAAAATGGATCAATAGATAATTTTTGTGCCGCAGTGAAATAATAAAATTGAACTAAAAATTATTCAAGTTTATCCTTAGCCTTCGATGTTTGTTTTTTGCTGTACTTTATCGAAACTTACATTCCTTTCAACCGAGCAAATGAACTGAATTATATTTATAAATTCTGAACTCAAACCGCGAAAAATCGAATTTGAGCTTGAACAAGTTTTAAGATTTTTTCCTGAAAGAATAAACAAAAAGTCATCAAGACTTTTAAGTAAAAAATAACTTTGTCAATAAAAATAATAACAAAAATAAAACCGAATGGGTGAAAACTGTTGGCGCGAAAAGAAGGAAAACGAAAGATCAACAAAATAGTCTGGAATCATTTTTCGATTGACATTAAAAAAGTCATTAGTTTGCCAAAAAGTTGGAATGGAACAAATTCTGGTCAATCTATTTCTTTGGTTATTCCGACCATGAAGTGTGAAGAGCTTTAAGTTTCAGTAGCTTTTGTTCCGACTTTCGATACGAAAGTAACGGAATATTTGTGCTCGGGGTGGTTTTTTTTTTCTTCAGACAAATTTCGACTTTTTAACTAGCCATTTTTGACGGAGTTTTTTTTATATCATTCGAAAACTATTGTTGTCCTGAGCTCAAATTTGAAAAGATATTTCACCTGTGATCCTTTTTCGTAAAGTTATGGGGGTTTAAAGATTGCCATTTTGGCCAATTTGGGACAATTAACGCGCGATAAATTAGACGATTTGAAAAAAATTCGATCAGCAGTTAAAGGTAAGGCCTTTAAATCTGCTCGAAATTATGAAAAATGAAATGCATCTTCCAAACTAATAATCATTCATGTATTTTGCGCCATTTGTGCTTTTGTAATTGCAGATCATTGTTTGATTGTGATTCGGAAGCCTAAACGCGACAAATTTGTGCCTGAACAATTTTTTTTAAATCATAAAAAAACCACGCTACTTGAATAAATGATAATTCACTTCGTTTGTTGCCACTTAGATAAACATTCATTGTTTAAAATCGGTCGTTGATTTTTACAACAGAATGCTTCCACTAGAGTCTGTTTTGCAATAAAAAACGAAAAAACATAATGACGTGTGGGGGGATGTTTTTAAATAAAATCTCAATTTTTTTCAAAAAAATTTTTATATTTTTTTTATTACTTTGAAATTTTTCATCTTATTAATGCTCCATAGACCTTAAAATGCAGTCGGAATTTTCAGGGCTTCGCCCTGATACGAGCAGTCTTGTTGTATTTTAAAAAATAATGCGCACCACAGAGACAGCGCGATTTGTCAATGAAGCTCTCCGTAATCCGCTTACATTCAAAAATTCTGAAAATTTTTATCAGTTCCCCGAACGAACTGTTTGGACTGTTTTTATGGGATTCTTTTGTAGATGTGTTGATGAATCAGCAATTACAACAGAAGCGTCTATGCAGTTTTTAAATTAAGTTTAGGAAGAGGAAATCCGGATTCTTTACAAAAGACAGTTTGTAAAGTGTTCTTTTCATGTTCTTTTGCACGCAGTCCCTATTTCTGCTACTTTCTTAAATTACTAATATGCTGAAAAATTTTTAAATAAGATAAATGGGAATGAAAAAAAGCTATCGTTCAACATCGCCAATCGAAGATTGGAAAAGAGTAATGATCGCAAAAAAAAACTTAAAAAAACACTGATTTCTTGACAAAAAACAACTTTCGACTCTCGAAGAAAAAAATAGATGCCCTTTAAGCTCTTTGAGTTTCTAGACCAATTTACGATTGGCGCTTTTTTGGCAACATTAACCCAACTTGAAAAAACTGGATCAACATGAAAGTTTTTTTTTCGCTGCAATTCTACTTTCGAAACTAGAAATCGTTCACGTTTTCTCGCGTCATTTCCATGTTCGCATTTGGAGAATTCTATTTACGCTATTTCCAGCAGTTTTATTTCAATTGAACTCAAAAAGTGCATATATACCTAAGTGCTTTCATAAATGCATTAATATGTATGAATGTACATCTGCAGTTATTAGAGACTCTTACTGAAAAAAAACCAAAAAAAAATCAGCAAGACCAGAGTCCTCACTACGTTCATTTTTCTTAAACAATCAATTCAACAAATAAAAATGTTTTTCCAAAAAAGTCATTTTCTTTTTTTTTCCACCGCCAGTTGGTCTCACAAGAATCGGACAAAAAGTAGAAATTTGCGACAAAAGTGCGTCAACGCTAGCGTATCACAAAACGGGATAAATTTTGTTATTTCTAGTTTTGTTTTAAACATGTTTTTAAATACTCTGTTTCAAACTGATTCTAACTCAGATGCTCTGAACACTTTAAAAAATCCCCCACCCTGGTATAACTCGAAGATACTTCTGCAATTAAAAGTGATTAAGTTTTCTAAAACTAACTTTGTGTTCAGCCTCAATTTTTATGCATTTTTGAATGTGTTTCAATGAAATTGTTATTCTAAATTTATTCACATAACGAAGAGAACATATCACAAATTTAATATTTACACTCTTCTCGAAGAGATGTTCCCACAGAATTACTAAGTTAACATAAAGGTGAGTTTAGTGCGATTATGCTGGTATGAGTTCATATCAAACATAGCTCTTCTTTTTTTTTCATTCTGATTTGGAAGGCATTTCTAGTTTTGAACTGGTTTTGAAGTTTATTCTGCTGTTGGGTTCTGAATTACCACCAAACTGTAGTCTTTGTCTGAAACAGAAAAACAGTTTCATGAAAAATTTCAGGGTTGCATTGAACTTCTGATAAATTTTAATAGCAGCACATTTTATTTTTATTAACAAGTGTTTTTGCCTCTGAACAATCAAGCTTGGCATAAATCTGCGACGTATACTCCCGTATAATTACCGCATAATAAGTCTTAAATTCGAAATCGAAAATAGCAGAATATCCGCATAATTGAAGCATTTTGAACACACAAAAGAACTTCTTTAATTTTTTTTGCGTGATTTTTTATTGCAAATAAAAAAATTCGAAGCTTGAAAAACTCAAGTACCAAAAAAATTTCTAAATTAAATGAATTAAAAAGTTTCGTGCGCACTTCTTTTGAGAGGGTCGTCAAAAGAACAATTTTTGCTAAAATATGGTTTTTTGGCAAAATTTCCGCATTTTTTCCTGCGGAATTTTAGTTTTTCCGCAGAACGGCCCGAATATTTGATAAAAATTGCCATGAGTCCGCATCGCATAATTTAACTACTTATTCGCGCAGATTCATGCCAAGCCTGTCAACAATGAAGTCCGAGAAATATCTCTAATCCAATAGAATTACTTTCTAGCAGACTGTTCAAAAACTCTCTATTCAAGAGAAAAACAGAGCAAAGGCAACATCACAGGTTGAAACTTTCGAGAGCCAAACTAGCATAATTTTCGCTGATTTCAAACCATTTTTTAAATAATTTTTCTATAACTACTGTATTTTTGGCTAGCTTATGTTGTCTGTTTAAAAAAGAGATAAAATTGCTGGCTAAAAAGCTAGTTATAAACTGAGATATTGACGATATTAATGCGAGAGGGAGAGAGAGAGAGAGAGAGTGAGGTACCTGGGGCGATGAGTATTTCGTTCTTCTTGCTGCGGATACGGATGAAGGTGAGGTCGTTGGAGGGGTCGATCTCCCTCAACATACTTCTGCACTTGTCGACCAGACTGTGCTCGAAGTGGGTGTAGTGGTTGGTCAGACCACTCTCCAAATTAGACCGAATCGGGATACCTAGAGAAGAGAGAGATACTAGTGTGGATAGAATCAACAAAGGAGTCTTTTTTATATTTATGGCAACACTGAGTTTGATATACAATCAACTAAAAACATTATTAAAATTTCGCAAAGCTGAAAACATTGAAACAGAAACCAAACGAAATAAGATGCGGCGTCCCCACCCAAAAAAAAAACTTTTCCTAAAAAAAAAACAAAAAAAACAATGCGACCTATATAACAGTGTGAACTACGTTCATCGACTTTTTGTCCAACTTTTAATGAAGTATTGTTTTTTTGCGCTCAAGAAGTTTTAACTTTAGTTCACTTGGTGAAGGGGTCTTTCTACCTGAAAATAATTGGCATTTGACTGGATCTTACCATCGTGGCTGCAGACGATGACTCCCTCGACGCCCTTGTGCTGCTGGATGCGCTTGATAGTCTCTTCAACTTCACTCTAAATCAACTCAACATTCTAATACAACTCAACCAAAGATACACACAAAACTTATAACAGTTCGCAAAAAAAGAAGACATACATCAAATAGTGACCCGAACTTACCATGATTGCTTGATATATTGTCTGTTAAACTGAAGCAGGGTTGTTAGAAGATAACTCTATAGATATCTGAAAAGAGCATCCATTTATAACAATTCAGGTAGGAAATTGCAGAAAAAAAGCTTAAAATGAAACCACAGGCGGGCGAAGCTGAACTTCACAAAACTTATTTGTGAGTTATGAAAAATATTGACATAGAAACGAAGCAGATCTTTTCACTTTTGAGATACAGCACAAACATAGCATGACAAACTAGCAGACAGAATTTGAAACGAAAGCCGCCAAGTCGATTTTTTTTAAAAAAGCGAGGAAAGCTAGCTGAACCCAGTTTTTTATATTTGTCTTGGAAAAAAATCTGTTTGTTAACATGAAAATTATGTTTGCATAGAAACAAAGCTGTATTAAAGCGCACAATTTTTGAGCAGACACCCGTTGAGCCACAAAAAAAATTCATAAAAAACCTGAAAACTTTCAAAACAAAATTAAATTACCCCTCAAGACTCACACGCACAGAAAATTTGTTTCGCCCATCCAAAGATGCAATATGAAACCACTAAGCCAATTAAACATAAACCAAAAAAAACATAGTCAATAGAACGGATTTTTGAAATGGAAGCATGCTCAAATTATGTCTGTTGACTAACGAAAATTGATTTGAGAAAAAAAGATTTTTTGGTTGAATTATTTACAAGATTAATTCTATGTTCCAAATTGATAACGCTTTCTAATCGCGAGCACAATCATCACGTTATAAACTAGTGTACATTAATGAACGAAGCAAAAAATACACATTTATTTAAATTTCATTTAAATTTATTAAAAATAATCAAACTAAAATTCCGCAAAAAACTTGTAACTCAATTAACACT